GCTCACCGCAACCTCCGCCTCCTGGGTTCAGGCAATTCTCCTGCCTCAGCCTCCTGAGTAGCTGGGATTACAGGCACGCGCCACCATGCCCAGCTAATTTTTTTTTTTTTGTAGTTTTGGTAGAGACGGGGTTTCACCAGGTTGACCAGGATGGTCTCGATCTCTTGACCTTGTGATCCACCCGCCTCGGCCTCCCAAAGTGCTGGGATTACAGGCTTGAGCCACCGCGCCCGGCCTGGTTCTCATAATTCTTTAAAATGAATATTCCTAGACGTCATTTTTCCAGCAGTTGAATTCAAACATCAGTTTCATACTAGGTAGTGCCTTAATTCAACCAGCTTTTACATTTTTGCCATTTTATGTCCTTGGGCAACAGGTCTACACTAATCAGACAACAGCTTTGCTTACAGTACATACTCTGTAAATACAGTTTCTTTTTTTTTTCCCACACCGCTTCCCGCAAATGCACTTTATTTGATTAAATACTCAAAGGGGACTCAGATTTTTTTTCTTGTACTTGTTTGACAAATAGTGATTTCATGCACAGTGCTTTCCATGGCTGTACTAAAACTCTCACAATAGGTTATTTTGAGATAGCTAAGAATAGATCAATAGTGACTGTTTCATGATTTGAGATGACATGTTAATTTTTTTTTTTTTTTGAGATGGAATCTCACTCTGTTGCCCAGGCTGGAGTGCAATGGCATGATCTTGGCTCACTGCAGTCTCTGGATCCTGGGTTCAAGTGATGCTCCTGTCTTAGCCTCCTGAGTAGCTGGGATTATAGGCGTGTGCCACTATGCCCAGCTAATTTTTGTATTTTTAGTAGATACTGGGTTTCAGCACGTTGGCCAGGCTAGTCTCGAACTCCTGACCTCAAGTGATCCATCTGCCATGGCCTCCCAAAGGGCTACAATTAAAGGTGTAAGTCACCACGCCCGGCCGTGAAATTTGTTCCTTAGAAAACCTTATCTTTGAGGGGTAGATATGGTTTATTTCTACCATTTTCACTTTTTCCCCCTTCTGCTTTATTAGCTAAAATAACACGCAGGCTATGAGGCCACTACTTTAGGTATAGTTGTAATTATTTATTATTTTTATTTTTTTTGAGACGGAGTTTCACTCTTTCACCCAGGCTGGAGTGCAATAGCGCAATCTTGGCTCACTGCAACCTCTGCCTTCCGGTTTCAAGTGTTTCTCCTACCTCAGCCTCCCAAGTAGCTGGGATTACAGGTGCACGCTATCACGCCCGGATAATTTTTGTATTTTTAGTAGAGACGGGGTTTCACCATGTTAGCCAGGCTGGTCTCAAACTCCTGACCTCAGGATCTGCCCTCCTCGGCCTCCCAAAGTGCTAGTATTATAGGCATGAGCCATCTCACCTGGCCAATTATTTGTTATTATACCACTTAATCTAGTTAGAGTGTATACTCTGTCATATCTTACCATGTCATCAAATTGTTTTAGGAATTAACTATTTAAAGTTTTGGTTTGGACAGATAGAAGGTTTTAACTGAGCATCTGTTAGATGCCAGACACTGTGAGGGACACAGTTCCAAAGAAAACTTACAATGTGACCAAATAGTTCTTGTTAGTATGAAATTTGCAGTGTCTGTAGTCCTAGTTACTCAGGATGCTGAGGCAGGAGGGTTGCTTGAGCCCAGGAGTTTGAGGTTGCAGTGCTGTGATTATGCCACTGCACTCAACTTCAGCCTGGGCAACAAAGCAAGACCATATCTCTTAAAGAAAAAAAAAAAATCCCTTCAGGCAAGTTTTTTTTTTTTTTTTTTAAACATCTGGAGATGATAGTGGTACCAATTATTGTTTTGAGGATTGAGATAATTATATAAATCACCTAGCATCCTGTCCCCTGCTGTTACTAAGCACACAGTACTTAGCAGAGAGGGTGTTTAGTGGGGAAGAGTAGATTATTTAGACAACACTTTGTAGTGCTATGGAGTCTTAGGAAGGTAATGAGAAATTATTTTCTTTAATGTGATGGCATATATAGAAGAAATTTTATTTTTATTTTTACTTTTTTGAGACGGAGTCTGGCTTTGTTGCCAAGTCTGGAGTGCAGTGGTGCAGTCTCAGCTCACTGTAACCTCCGCCTTCTGGATTCAAACCATTCTCCTACCTCAGTTTCCCAAGTAGCTGGGATTACAGGCATGCGTCACCATGCCTGCCGAATTTTTGTATTTGTGGTGGAGACAGGGTTTCACCAGGCTGGTCTCGAACTCCTGGCCTCAGGTGATCCACCTGCCTTAGCCTCCCAAAGTGTTAGGATTACAGGCGTGAGCCACTGCATTCGGCCAGAAGAAATTTTTAAAGTTGAAACTAATGTAGTTGATAACTTTGTCCAAATTGGCAGTTTACCTGGGAGGTGGAAAATTGGGGTAATATGTGCTTTGGATGACTTTCACTTTGTGCTGACTATTGCATAATACATTGTCCATTATGGGAAGCTCATTAAAAGTTGGAAGAAGTAGACCAGATGTAGTGGCTCATGCCTGTAATCCCCATACTTTGGGAGGCCGAGGAAGGCAGATCATGAGGTCAGAAGATTGAGACCAGCCTGCCTAACATGGTAAAATCCTGTCTCTGCTAAAAATAAAAAAATTAGTTGAGCGTGGTGGCACATGCCTGTGATCCCTAGAATGGCTATTAATCCCTCTGTTGACTCAGGGTACCACTGAGCAGGCAGATCTACCCACATAGTGGTTACATAGAAGGGATAGTGAGTGGACTGTTCTCTTGTGATTTGGATGGCCCTATTTGATTTGAGGCCTTGGGGTACTGGTGACATGCTAGTGGTTGACATAGTCTATTTCCAGTCTCACTGAAGTTTACTTACTAGTGGTAGTAGTTGTCTTCTTCTAGTCTCACTACTCAGGAGGCTGAGGCAGGAGAATCACTTGAACCCAGGAGGCAGAGGTTGCAGTAAGCCAAGATCGCGCGACTGCACTCCAGGCTGGGCGACAAACAAATAATACGTGTTCATTTTAGAATATCTGCGAAATGTAGGCAGTTAGAAATCTAAGTGACACTTTTTAATGCTAAGCTCATGGAATATCTTATTGTATAATACTTAAATCTGCATGTTGAAGGGTGACAGGTTTGG